CCTTGGCCTTCTCATTTTACCTTGTTTTTCTGCTGGGCATGTATCTCTTTGCTTCTCTTCTGATGCTAACTAACATGCCCATCCCTGTGGTTGGGTCTTCTATCTTTCTGCAGCTATTTTTCATCATAAATCTCACCGTTCCCTAACCTGCAGCCAGCATTGACCATAGTCAATGCCTGCCGGCGAGGAGCCAGCCCTGGTTTTTGGGGACAACAATGTGTGGCTCTGCCAGCTGCAAGTGTGATTCGGTGGTTGGTGTTCACCTGTTTTGGTGCTCACATTGGTCTTTCCCAATATGTGTGGGTCCTCTTCAGTTGGTGAAGTGGTGGAGTTGTCTTCCTGGCTGTCCCACCAGCAGAGAGATATCTCCTTTGATGTGCTGGAGACAACTCTCCAGCTCTAGTTTCAGACAAGGTGGATTTTTCCACCTGCCAAAGCAGCTCCATGGGCTGTGGCTTGGGCTGCATGAGCCTTCCAGTTCTCTTACCATCAGTCAGTGCTGAAGGCTAAGTTGCATGAAAAGATTGGTTCCTGGATTTTAGCCTCAACGTTGGGGCTGAAATAATGGAGGAGAACAAAGGCTCTATTTCTCTGTTTGTATAGCCTTTATATGACCTGGAGATGACCCTACCTGAGCCAGCAGGCTGCAGAGAACTCTTTGACTGGGGAGACCAGTCATTGAACCCTTCAGTTTCAAACAGAAGTGTGTTTCACACGAGACAAACCCCAAGCAATGCCTTAAGCAATTTTGCATTTTCTACTGGATATCTCTCTGCCCCTGTGTTGACCATGCAATGCCAATGTTCCCAATGACATTAAACCCACGACGTCCATCTATCGTGGGCGAGCTGTTCCCGGCACTGTTTGCATGTAGTCTGGGTAGGAAAGGCAAGGAGAGATTTGAATGACGAGAAAAAATAGCCTTATTGTTGGCTGTGCTTGTTGCAGCCATCCTCTACACCTCTTTTCTTCCTGAAACCCAGCCGAATACATTGCCACCATCTTCTTCACCTGCTTCCTCTTGGCAGTGGCCAAAGTTTGATGGTTTGGATAAGGTGCGATGCTGTGGAGGAGGAGGATGCAGGATGGTGTGCAGGGCACAGCCAGCCCCAGAAACAGCCTGCTCTGCCTCCTTGCTTCTCGGCAGCGAGGGCACCTCAGCCAGCTGCTGTGGGATGGGGGAAAAGCATCACCACAGTTGCTGGTACATAACCCACTCCCTTTCTGTGCCTCTTCCTGGCTCTCCCAATTTCTCTCTCCTCCACCTTCCTGTTTGTGATCTCTTATGCTAAATGTTGCTGTTGGCATTTTTTTACCTTATGTTCCTGCTCTAATACTTATTTTGACTCCACTCATAGCTTCACCCACACCTGCTTATACATGCTAGTGTTAAGTAAAGCTGACAAATACAGTTTCACTCAAGTTTTTATATTAAAAATATTTTTTTCAAGCAAAAATCATTTTTTTCAATGTGTTATCAAAGCTTCAATGTGTTTTCAATGTATTTCAATGTGTTATCAAAGTTATTTTTCTAGAAGTCAACAAAAAAGTGGACATGCAAGTTAAGTGCAGGTTTATACACTCTCCAGCCCTGCAGTGTTAGTTTCTACTTAAACTGTGCTCCCTCCACTCACCCATTTATTTAAAAATGTGAAGTCTCATTGGCCATTCCCTGGGATAAGAAGCCTGGGCTTTCCAGCTGGATTTACTCTGAGCTGCTCAGCTAGGTCCCAGCGCAGTAAAGAGCTTGAGCATATGGCATATCCCCTTTGCCAGTGGCATATTTGCCTTCGACACCGGTTATGCAGAGCAGGACTGGGACCCTCAGAGAGATTATACGTGGCTTAGAAATCCTTCCTGAATGTGAGCCTGAGTTTTGAAACACTAAAAAACTTCTAAAGCTATTTTGCTGAAAGTTTCCCTAAATAAGACAGATGTTAAGCAGCAGGAGCAGCATCAGCATCTGATGCAAAAGCATCAGATCTCTCTGTATTTTGAAGGATGGGATTGAGGATCTGATGTTTTGGAGATAGACTTGGAAGCTAAGTCCTGCTCCTCTTCCCTGGAGGCCTCTTTGGTTCAATTTTCATTTACTTCATCACCTTGCAGACAAACGTGTGGTTTATTGCAACATCCCACCCAGCCACTATGAAGCACCAGTGCCTGGGAAGGATGAGCGTGATTCCAGGTGCAGCTGGCAGTGGTTAGTGGGACCGTGGTTGGTGGGACCATGGTTGGGCTGCTGACAGATTTGGTTTTGAAGGTGTTGAGCCCCCAAGCTCCAAACAAACCCATGTCTGCTTAACATCAAGCATGGAAATTGTTCCCCAAGATGCAGAAACCAGGGTGGATGAATTACTGAATTGCAAGGCAGAGAGATTCTCCTGTCTGCATGTTCTGGGTTGGGCTGGCCTGGCTCCTGCGAGCTCTCCTGCAGCCCCTCTGAAACTGGTCAGAGAGGTCACCTTGTCCTGTTGATGTTTCCTCTGGGGCTTGTACCAACCCTTCCCTTCAGCAGCACTGATTTATTCCAGCTGAGGCTCTGGCCCATGACTCAAAGGGGTAATTTTGTGAGTTAATTTATTAGCAGAGTCTCAAAGGACCCTCAGATGGCTGTAGATTGAGTTTTGGTGGTCGGATGGAAATTGTCTCTTACTGTGACAGAGATGATCATTAGTGCCTTAGAGGACATGGAGTACGATGGTTAGTGTAACTGGCGAGAGGCTGGTGTGTGAGGGCTGCCTGAGCATTTGCTCACAGGTGAGGTGCTGGAAAAGGCCACCCCAAGATGGGCATGGTGCTGGGGCACTCCTGTCCCTCGAGAAGCTGTGTCCTGGCATGGACCAGCCCCCCATTGCAGGAGAACAGATACACATGGAGGGTTACCGCATCCTGGGGAGCTGCAACTCATGCGTCTGCTCTGCCACAAAACTTCCTGGCTAGCCTTGACTGAGTCACTTAGTACCAGAGCAGGGGGTCATGGGGCTTGGACCCTCCTGTCTTAACTGAGCATGACGTTTGGCTCTCTGTGCCCTTGACATCATCTGCAGGATGGTGGGGGGAAAGAACATCTCCTTGCTGTCAGGATGAGTAATTTTGTGAGGCTTTCGGTGCAGGGAAGACTGCAGCCATCCAGCAGACTGGGAAATAGTTCCATGTACAACCCTTCATACTGTGTCCAATTGGCCAAAGCCTTCATGCAGATGTAGATGAGGTGCTTGGCATGTCTTGCTCTGGTGGGGTGCGCATAATGTATTGTCAGATGCATCTATGTTTGATGTCTAGTTTACATTATTTATCCAAATTTTGATCTTGCAGCTAAATTAATTCATTTTTAGGAGGGTTTTGGCCACCTAAAGGTGTAGTGTCCTCTGTTTTTTAATATTTCATCCTAATGCTCCCAGGTGGAAGTTACTTTTAAAAAGGCAATTAAAATGCAGGAAAACTTTAAGCATTGTCGCTGTTTTAAAGCACCTCAAACTTGCCCAGCAAGGCTTCACATGGCCATTGGGGAAGTTCTTGCTAATGAAATTAGTTGTTCATGCATGGGGAAAGTAATATCCAACACCACCAGGTTAAAGGAAATATTTGGCAAAGAGTTTGCAGTCCCAATCAAGCCTGTCCGTATCTGATCCCCAGCTGAGCTGGACTGACATAGGCTGATGCTCAGCTAATGAAATCTGGTACCACTAATGGGGTCTAGCCAGAAGCCTGCAGAGAGACGCTGTAGGAGCAGCACGAGAAAGTTGCTGTTGATGGAGCTGAGGCCAAGAGCTTACCTGTGCCCTTAGCTGTTCTCCAGGGATGCAGGACCTGTGTCCTGCCACTGCCCATAGCTCCAGGGGAGCACCTTTCCTGGGAATTTCTCTTCTTTTTGTACCCACCAAGATCACAGCTCTGCTCCTACTGAGCACCAAGGTGTCTTGTTCAGCTCCATCCCTGCTGACTGACCAACCTTGGATAATCATGTTTCATCTCTCCATCCTCATATCCCACAAACCAGGGGTGACGCTGCTTCTCCATCTGGGTGGTGTGCAGTGAGACAGGAGTGGAAGAGGCTTTTTAAAAGCAAAGCATTCTTCTGACCTCCCAACAGAGAGTGGAACAGTTGAACATGCTTTGTGTTAAGAAGGAAATGCTGTGGGCTGGAAAAGATGCTAAATGGAAAAAAAAGTAAATCAAAAAACCAAATCTAAACCCCTAAGTGCTACAGTCTGTTATTACTTCCAAAGCTCTGCTACAGATTTTAAGCCTTTAGGGACGGTGAGCACACATGTCCTGCACTGAATGCTGCCCTTCATCCTTGGAGGGGCTGTTCCAAAGATGCACAATAGGATGCATCCAAATAATTACCCCGTTGTGTTAATGATGAATGCAGTGGCCCTGCTGGGGGAGCTGGCAGAGCTCCCTCCCTGCTTGTTCGGGAGGGCGCTTGTGATGGGCTGAGTTGGCTTTGGCTTGCGTAAGCTTTAATCTAAAGTTGGAGATGTTTTTAGCTGATCTGTGTTAATGTTGGGTGGAATTAACATGCATACGGGGAGACCATGTGACTCCCCTCAGACCTCCCCCCCTTCTTTTTTTTTTTTTTTGCCGTTTTTCATTGCTTTAACGGATTCTTGCCAAATCAGAGTGGCTGGCGCTTGGCAGGGCTGGGCTGCCGCCACCAGCAAGATGCCCACCGCCTCTGTCCTTTACAAAGGAGCCATCATCATCAGCAGGTAATCCCCCCTGCAGCTGGGGCAGAAATTGGGGAGGGGGCATGGGGCAGCCCTGGGGGTCCCAGTGGCCACCTCGAGTCAGGGATCATCTGCTGTGGCTTCCCTAGGACCAGGGTTCAGTGACAGAGATGGCTCGCGTGCAGAGAAAAAGCTGAGGACATCATCACTCGCGTCTGTTGTTGGGTTTCTTGCGTCTCTCGCATTAGCGAAGCTCACTTCTGCTCCACCGTTCGTGTATCAAATCGGGGATAAAAGTTTATCGTATCAAGTAGGCATCTGCTTTAGCGAAACCTCCATCCTTATGTCGCGTTTCAGCCCGCTTTGAGCTATTTCTGTTTACTCCTGGTTGAGTTTCCTCAGTGATTTATGCAAAATACTCTGAAAATCCTGCATGGTAAATTGAACCAGTCTGGGCCTGGGGCTGCTCTGGCTTCCTGGGATGCCTTCAAGCTGCATTTTCTGACAGCCAGATGTGGCCAGATTTTGTCCATCCCTTGAATACATTAAACATTGCAAGAATATCAAGGGGGGATATTTTTAACGAGAAAAAGCTTTAGAGATCGCCCATCTTAGAGATGGGTGTTACTGGCTCTGTGGATAGCTTGATATTTTGAGAGGTATTTTGGATGCCTGCAAAGAGAAGTCTCTATGGTTTATTCCTCTCCTGTGTCCCACTGGACAAGGAGGAGCCTGTTGTGCCCCACACTGTTGTTCCTTCTCAGCTGTATACAAATCTGGGATTTGATATTGATTCAGAAACTTCTTTTCTCTTGTGACTTAAATCCCGGGAAGGGAGTGTTTTGGGAGCCCCTCACCCCTGGTTCCCCACCTGGTACGCTTGGCTCTGGGTTTGTCAGGTTAAAGTCCACTCATCCTCACCCACCCTCACAGGAGTGACAAACACGGGCCACCGAAGGAGGAGAGGCGCAAGTGGTCTTGGGTTTGGAGTACAGGATCCCCATCTAGGGCAGAATAGAGCTTCTGGTGACATTTCTTTGAGACACCAGCAGATGTTTAGGTGAAGACTCTGGGGAAGGTGGAAGAATTACTTGCCACAGGGGAACCTCAGGTGTATGACGCTCTTGCACTCGTTTTGGCTTGTGATGAGAAGTTCCCACCCTTGACCTGGTGAGGCAGGGACTTGAAGCGGCTCAGCAGATCTTGCATTCCTCTTTTCTACGCCCCCTGCCAGAGGCATGGACACTGCCTGTGTTACAAAACTTTGGGAGCGGATCGTCCCTGGCTGTCTTCATTACAGGCTGGCTGTATTTGTGAAACTGGTTTATTCCTGGAACATTGGTCCAAGATCTGATCTCATTTCCCGGGAGCTGGACAGCTGTCCAGCCCTGTTAATCTGGAGTAATGAATCGCAGAGAGGCCCATCAGATTTGCTGGGTGGGGAGGATGATGTCCAGCCCTGCACATATTCTCTCATTTATCTGTATAAATTTCAGCGGGGGGTGGGAGGGGATTGCTTTTTGCCAGCATGGGCTTAATATGTGGGGTCATGTCCCTCAACCTGCGTGTCTACATCATTCCATAGGCAACATCCAGGGTGGTGGGAAGGATGTGCATGTTGGTTGGGCACCTGTACATCTGTTTCTTTTAGCCCATGAAAGAAAGATGCTTCTCTTCTCTCTCCCAGGACACTCATGGGACCATATGGGATGGATCGAACCGTGCACTGCTTCGATTTCTACGACTGTGCAAATGGGCTCGGTGAGTCCTGAACCTCTGCAAGAGACGTTGGGCAGGGCTGGGGTGGTTTGAATGTCCCTCTGGTCCCCATGTGTGAAGTCTGATATCTCACAGAAATAACAGTTCTTGTGTCTGCCTGGATCAAGCATCTGATAGTACCTTTTGCAGCTGGGAGGTTTAAATAGGGTCAAAATCCTGATTAATTTCCTGTTAATGGTGAGCACCCAAGGGCTGAGAGCTGTGCAGGAGCCTGGGGCCAGAACTTCTCCCCTGACCAGGACAGGGGGAAAAAAAGACATTTTGCAATTTTCTGAATTAATTAAATTAAAATTTAAAATTAAAAAAAATCTTAAAAAATTATAATAACAATTAAAAAATCCCAAGCACTTACTAGCTGCTTGCCCCCACTCCACTGCATGCAGCTCCCCCGGGAAGCCACCCCGATGTTGCAGGGCATTGCAGTTCTCCTGGGGATTAGACTGTGTGAGTTGTTTTTGGAAAATCTGGCCCGTGGGTAAGGGTATGAGCACTGAGCGAGTCAGACATCCCTCCATGGTGCTCTGAATATCAAAGCACAGAAGAGAAGAGAAGAGAGGTGGTCATATCCATCAGAACATGAGAAATAACCACAGGCTCATGGAACTCAGCCTGAAAGGATCCCGTGCAGCATCTCATCTGACCGCTGTGTATCCAGCGGCATAAATACAAGGAGAAAAAAGTCAACTGTTTTCAATAGCGTGAAAAGTCCAGAATTCTGTGCTGCTGAAGAAGCAGCAAGTGAAAAAGTATCTGGGATCAAAGCTGCAGTCTACAAACTGGATTCACTCTGCCCTTTGCTTCTGATAGGCACGAAAATACAGATATGCACAAAATCCCCTACTCACTCAGGGCACAACCCAAGTACAAGTCTTGCCTTCAGCAAATAGACACAATGAGGCTCTGCATGAGTTTTGGGCATATACAGAGTTAGTTGTTTGCAGACTAGCAATGGATGGTTTCAAGGACCAGTTGTACACTTTGATCCTTTTGAGATGAAAACTTCTATGCAACATTAGAACATAGGAAAATTTTTGCTCTTTCATGGACTTCATAAAAAGTTGAAATGTTGCATCAGAATTTCTCAGGGTCCACCACACAGTCTCCTCTATCATTTTTGATTGTGAGTGCAACCCATCATCTCACAGAGCGGCTGCGGGCCCTTTAGTGAGGTCCCTGGGTAATCATTTGGGAGCCCCTCCTGAGAAGTCAAACTCACCAGAGAAACACTGTCAGGTTTCCTGAGATTAATTACAGGGTCATTATTGGCTATTTCCAGCTTTTGGGTAATGGAGCTTTCTGCCATGGAGGAAAGGCATTGCTGATGCTTCTTCTGGCCTTCTGTTCATGATGTTCACAGGAGCTCAGAGAAATGTCTTTGCTTGGTGAATATGATATTTTAATCTCCAGAGGTTGATTTGGTTGAGTTGATGGGATTTTAGCTGTTGGGTTAGATTAGCTCGTTAAAGGAGGAGACCCAGAAAAGCCTGATTGGGCTGATGCTGACCTCTGGAAGAGATGCACAGATGTTGCAGCCCACTGCCAGCCACTTTCCTGGGTCCCAGTACTCCTTTTTCCCACCCTGTGGCCAGGTCTTTGCAGGGTCTTGCAATGTGCTGCAAGAAGGTATAATGATGTGGATTTTCTAATGCCATCACCAGCTTTCTTCACCCTCTCTTGTGAAGCTTGAAACACCCAAGACAAGCAATTGTCCTCCAGAAAACACCCCTCTCTGCTGAGGACCAAGTGGTACCTGCAGGAACCTGGTGTCTGCCATAGGTGTAGCTGCTCAGGATATATTTTTGGGGGGGCAAAAAAAGTGTCTCCGTGTTCCTCCATGAGCCTCTTATGTTCAGATGTGAATGTTATTCTAGCAGAGTTGCTTCAGGGCAGCAGCAGCCCTCTTGGTGCTGGCGTGGCAGGTCAGCGTTTGGCCCTGGGTCTGTTGCTTTGTGGCTCTAGGTGGAAACCCACATGTGAACCTCAGCAGAAGTTCAAAGGGGTTACCTGGCAGCTCCTAAAACCTGAACTTTGAATTAAAGAATAGCCATCAAAGGGAAGTGCTGATTAAGAAGCATTTCTCAGAAACACTGAGATCCCATTATCTTGACCTTCATCTTCTTAGGACGGGGCAGTGAGTGATTCACCTCCAATCTGTCCTTTCCTCCAGACAGAAAAAGCTGGCCAGGGCTGCAAGATCAACAAAGAGATTAAGGGAAATGTAATTGAACATTGCTAGCTTAGGCGCATAGCGGACAGCCTCTCTCCATGTGGACCGTGGCATGGTTGCCAGTGAGGTCAGGATGCACCGGAGATGATTACAGTTGGGCCAAACAACCAGATTAGCCAGGACACCCCTTGACCCGTGGTACAGAGCTGCATGGCAAGCCAGCAGCAGGTGAGATTATAGCCTGAGAAGTTGAGAAGTGTGACACTGCCATTAGTGGGAGTGGGATTAGATGAGCCAGAAAACTCAAGGGTCTCGAAGACATTTATAGGGTTGCTAAGAATCTAAGAAAACACTGTCTTGTTCAGTCTGACCTGTGTGCCTACCTGGAGTTGTCCCATAAACATTCATTCTGCCAAAGAGAAAATACTGGGGATGTGGGCATTGGTTCCAGGACCTTTGCCAGAAAGGAAAGATTAAAGAGAGAGATCCAAAATAGGCTAGATTATCTGGCCCTAAGTATGACTTAATAAGCATTATACTGGGACTTTGATGCTGTGATAATTAAAGAGCCGTTATTTACTTACACTGGGTCCCAAATATAAATTTGTGTTTATAAAATATGAAGACTCCCAAAAATGCTACCACCGAAATCTTTGGTTAGGATTTGTTGCAATGTCTCCCGAGCTCGGTCCAAGCCCTGGCAGGGATGAGCCTTCCCTTCTCTTCCTCCTCCTCCTCCTCCCTGCCCTGGTGGGGACTCCCCAGTGCATCTCCTGGGGGGCAGGGCCAGCATAAGTGGTGTCTCCACAGCGAAGTGTTGGGTAGGAGGGCAGCGGGGGCAGATCCTTGCAGCACCTAGCTGGTTTGCCAGCAAGGGAGTGAAAAGTCAGGGGTTTTTCCTCCCCTCCCATCAAAGTTTGAGTGTCTGGGAGCAGTACTGTGAGTAATTGCTGATTTTAATAACAAGATCGGATTTTCTCCTGACATCGTTGGGGATAAAGGAGGATTTGTAGATACTTCAGCTATATTAAGCCATTATTACAATTGATTTGTGGACACAAAAGGGAAGTGAGTCATTATTGCTTTGACACCTCAGCAGAGGAGCCCGTCACAAGCTGGTCCCATTGAGCTGCTGGGTGATGCTACAGTCTAGCCTCTTCTGAGATGCAGATTTTTACATGATTTGTTTAATGCGTTATCATTCCTAGTTACTTCATGTACTGGTGTGAAGATATACAATGACTTCATCAGTCAATACCTTGGCTTAAGCTGGACTTCCAGTGTCCTCCCTGCCCAGGGGTACCAAGGGGGCTTTACCACTGCAGGACTCCTCCATGCCAGGGGGTTTCCAGACCCATCCCAAATGTGAGCCTGCTCCCCAGGGTCTCTCTGCCAGCTAGTGGCAAAGCCCACCAGCAGCCACCCCAGCCTGGGAAGCTTTCCAGCTGAGCATCCTTGGTGATGAGCACATTTTACCTTCTGTCAGTGGGCTTTGGGGCTGCAGCATCTCTTCCCAGCTTCAGTCCGCAGGGACCTGACCTGTCCCCATGCTGCTCAGAGATACCTCTTTTGGCAGTATTTCAAATTTTAGTGAATTTCTTAAAAAAAAATTGCAATGGAGATCAACACTGGTGGCTTTTCCTGAAGTATTTTGCTGTGAGTTCCTAGTGCCATTGGTAATACAGCTCCTCACAGATGTCCTAGGGCTGTATGGTTAATGCATCAGTAAACTCCAGCACTTGGATAGAGCTGGGTTTTCTGCTCGGGAGAAGCAGCAACGGGTACATACAGGAGTGAAATGAAAAATTGTGATAATCTGGTTTTAATCACAATTTTAATGTAAAGGTGACTTAATAGACAAGGTGCTTCCCTAGAGGTAGCTGAAAACTGTGAAGGTCCTCAGAGCAGAGCTTGGGTTATAAAAGGAAGGGAGCTAGAAGTGGAAATAGTGCCTTTGTCCCAAGTAATCTTGGTCCAGGGCCCACTCCTATTACCTTCTCTTCGTTTCAGTAAAAGGGTCTCATGTTTTGGGGAAGAAGCTGTGCTTTGCTCCCCTGGAGGGAGGCATGTCTCACATGGGGTCATGTCACACACCTCAGACCCCCACCAAGGCTCGGAGCAGCTCCTCAGCCCAGCAGCAGGCAGAGGATGAAGCTGGCTCCATGCTGGCAGTGCGCCTCTCTGCGGTGCCACCTGTCCTTAGCGTGCCCTCCTGCCCAGAGCAGCAAAATGCCTGACTGGCGGCTCTTGGAGGAGATTTGTTAATTAAAGCCTGGCTTTTTAATCCTTCTGCCTAGATCTTTGAAGCAGGACTTAATGAGCCCTGAACAAATAAGTCTCTTGGGCCTTTTCCTGCCAGCCAGCTTATGCTCACACCAGTAGCGATAGGTCCCATGGCTGGAGAGGTGGCCGTGCAGCATGAGAGTTCTTTGCCAAGGTGCTACGGGGCACCTGAGCTATGCGGCTGCACTGAAGCTCATCTCTACACCCTGGCTTCTGCCTCTGGGCTGCTCCACACAGGTGCAAAGACCGATTAAAAAGCGGCTGCTCTTGGGGGCTGCTTCTGATGTGCAGCTCTGCCTTTGATGGCAGCTTCACCGGCTGCGGTGGAGACAGTGCTGGAGCCTGGCAGATGGGCGAGCTCACAGCAGGGATGTTCTCACCACCATGTTGAACCTGAGGCCTGTCCAGATGTTGCACCTTGAAGGCAGACACACTTGACCTCATAATGTTTCATATGACAGTTATCAGAGACATGAGTACAGGAAGCCAGTGGCTGATTTAACTAATTTTTCTTAATTTCAAGTGATGAACTTTGCTTGGGCAAGGTGGTCACTCCTTTCCTGTGCCTTTCTCGGAAGCTTTGCCTCCATAGCTGTGGCTCTATCAGGTGCCTTTAGCCTTTGTGCTGTGTCAGTGGCCTCATCACGTTGCTTGTGTTGCTACTTGTATAGCAGGGGATATGAGGGGCTTTCCACTAAAGGTTTTTAAAAGGGGTATCAGGCGATGCTGGGGTGGTCCCTCTGAGACAGCCTGTGGAAATGGTGATTCTTCTGCCTGTGTCATGGACACTTCTTTTCCTCCAGGTATTAAGGTAATCGGTGGCATTAAAGAACTCACTGGGGAAGAATATGGAGTTTATGTCAAGAGGATTCTTCCAGGGGGTGTTGCTTACGCGGACGGTGAGTTAAACACGATGCGGAGTATCACAAAGTCTGAGAAAAGCCAAAATCCAGTGTATTTATTTTATATGTTGCCATATTAGACATTCCAGATGCTTCTTTCCAGATTTTCTAGCAGTGGGGGTACTTTTTTACTATGGCAATAGTTGTAACATTCGATGGCAGCCTTGTCTTGGCTTCTACAGCATCTGGATGGCTGCAGTGTGTCTTTAAATCAAGATCCACCTCTGCCACACAAAGAACTTAACTTTGCTGCCTGTCCCTTGACATGTGCCCCTGGCTGTCTGAAGCCCCAGAATGACAGAAGATCCTTCTGCAAATTCAGCTGTGCTCTAGGCTACTGATTTCATTCTGAGCGTCTTCAAATAAGGAGGTATTAGGCAGGGCTCTACACAGTTCACCCTTCATAACTTAAGACAGAGAGACTTAAATTTTTTTTGCAAATGTTACACCACCATTTTTCCATGAAGAAAAATAATCCAGAACAGGTAGAGGTGGCACTGGTGGTTTTCTACCTGACCTCAAACTGAATCAAGTAAAAGCTTTATTGCATTTTTTGGTATTTACTTTCGTAACATCCTACAGGAGAGGAAGCACTGCGACATTGGCACAGGCTGTTCAGGGATGTTGCAAAAACTTCATCTATGGACATCTTGGAAAAACAGGTTGGATGAGCATCTCAGGAGCAACCTGTGCATATTTCATCCTGTCTCTGGGCAAAGGGAGGAACTGCCCAACCTCTCCCAGTGCCTTCAAGCTGTATTTTCTGCAGTTTCTACCTATTAGTTTTGTTTTTTTTCTAGGGCGCCTGCAGCCAGGAGACCAGATCCTGGAGGTCAATGGAGAGTCCTTAATTGGGGTTACGAGCGAGAGGTACCATATCCGCATGGAAATTTTGCATTCCTGTTGCTTTTGTATAATTCTGTGAAGTGGTTTAGGCTGCAGGTTGCACAGAGGATTCTAGGGCACTACTTTGTGCTGTGACACAGTCACTCTATTCCCAAGAACTGGAACTTGGGAATCACCAAATGAAAAGTTTCTGTATAAAAATAGACCAGTGAGTCTAGTCTGCATTTGTGAGATATTCAGACATTTGCCCAAAATGCTGGGTTTTTTAGCAGCTCCTGGCACCCCCACTCCATCTGCTACAGCTCCCAGCTCAGAAGATTCCCCAGTGCCACAGCCTGGCAGTGTTGCTCTACGTGGGGCATTCGATCCAGACCTGCAATCCATCCCCTCCACTCCCTGCCAAGAAAATAATTAGATCCAGAGGAGTACAGCACTTCTGGAGTACCTCTTTTCCATTAAATGTAGTGCTAGCCTGCTGCTGCCTTGCACTGATTAGGCTGGATAGATGTTTGGGAAGAAGCATGAGGAGATTTTCCTGCTCCCAAACACCCAGAGGGGCTGGGTTTGATGAAGGAGGTACCTGAGGACATCTCTGCATCTGCAGGGAGGCTGTGTCTGGCCCCCGGCACGCTGTCCTGACCCCCATGGAGACGCTTATATCTTGAACGAGAGCAGCCATCCCTGAAATGGAAACTTCCTGAGGGAGGAGATGTGCTGGGACGTATTTGCTTACCACCACATGCATCTAATGGATCTGCTTTGTTATCAAGGTCTTCTAATTTATTGGAGAAGTGGGAAAATGGGGCTGTGATATGAAAATCAGGGCAGGGAACAGGGGTGTCCCTTAGGCATCCAGCCAAAAAAGGTCACTTGGTTGCTGACAGGGCTTGCCCAGGCCATAGGTCTCTGCCCAGTTTGCTGTGAGCTTTGGTACATGACTGGGTGAGCTCAGTGGAGCACCACTGCAAGCCAGTGTTGACATGTTGTGGTCCTTGTCTCACAGGGCCGTGGACATCCTGAGGACAGCGTCAGCCAGCAGCCACATGCGCCTTCTTATAGCTCGTGATGATGACGCCAGGTAAGGGGTGTCATCTCGTACCGGCAAGGGGGATCACAGCACTTGTTGGCACTGTCACTGGACTGCCTTTGAGATAACCAGGCTCAAAGCCCATGGTGAAGACAGAGGTTGACAAGGATCTTTTGACAACTGTACAACAGTGGGAATGTGCTGGAGCTGTAATGGGGAGGAAAGCAAAGTTGGTGGCTCCCAGCTGCAGACCTGGCTCCAGCCCAGCCTCTGCCAGCTCTGTGGGACATCCCAGCATCAAGCAGATGTCCACAGGTGTTTTCCCAGCAAGGATCAGGGCAGCTTCAGCCTTGGCTGTAGAGTAGCATGGGCTCCTTCAGCTCTGCTGTGTGGTGCTGAGCTGCCTATGGCTTATTACATCCTGCACAGAGCTTTGGATGAAGAGGAACAAGGACAGCAGGATCTTCCCTTTCCTTTCCAGTTAGACACATTGAGTTAAGGTCTCCCTTCCCCAGAGGATTCCTCTCTCAGGGAGGACGAGCAGTTTCTCTCTGAAACCTCTCCCCTTGCCATTCCCTGGAAAACCTTACTCTATCTAGGGAGGCTTGGGGGATTCAAAGGCAAAAGAAATTAGTTCAGTTTTGTCTTGGCTAAATTTAAGCTGTGTGGGACAATGATGGCATCATGAGAGAGGGCAGGGTTGTGGAAACCAAGGTATGGGATTAGTGGAGTCCTTTGCTTGCACTCCCTGGGAGATATGGTGCTATGTGCTGTAGCATCCTCTCCCCGTTGAATAGAAACATAGATCTGGAAACTTGAGGTACACTTGGAACCACCAAAACAAGAGTGGGTTTAGGCAGAGCGCGATCATGGGTAGGCAAGTTGGTGGCATTGAGGATTTGTGTTGTGTGTGGGTGGCTGAAGATCACAGAGGTGTTTCCTCAATGTACCCGCATGCCGTTAGCATCAGGGATGATGGTTTCATTCCTTATCCATCAGCACCTGTGGAGTGTTACTGCCTTGGCAGAGCAGTGAGAGTGCTGTAATGACAGGGGTGAGGCTAATTTTGACACAGTAATATTCTGGCAGAAGAATTATTTGCTATTAATGATGGACTGCTGTCACCTACCTCTATTCTGCTCTTCTGCTGAAAATAACCACTCAAATTATTGCATTAACTGCAAGTCCTTCAGCAGCTGCTGAGGAAGCACTGAGTGAACAGGTCACTGGAGCTAGGCTCGAGAGTTTCACCCTCTTTTGGTCTGAGTGAGGATCTGTCTCTGTACCACAGCAATCCCTGCATTTGCCTTAGGGGTGGAGGAGGCAGTGAGCATCTTGTGATGTTCTCGCTGGATGGCCATTGCTGGGGCTGGTCCCCAGCAGGAGGGATGGGCTCCCGCAGCTGAGCAGCTCCCTGCACCCAGGGTTTGCTCAGGAAAACACTTTATTTCTCAGCCAGAGCCCCCAAAGCAGGTTTTCTGCCTTCACCCACGCTGATCTGTTCCAAGCTGTTGAGGCCTCTCAACGTGCCTCCTAATATCTTAAATTGCAGCAGATGTTTCTTAAAATATATGCGTGCCTGGCTTTGTCGGCAGCTCCAGCTCCTTCGTGCATCTGTCGGCAGTCCCCAATTGCCCTGCAGAGGAGCTTGAGAGGGAGAATGGGAGGGCAAGGAAACTTTAAGCAATTTATTTGGCCTCTGTTTGCTGTTGGTTGTCTGTTAAATCTGCAAAAGGTTAGCTGGCAGGAGAGTGGGGAAGTAATCAGTTTATTTATTTTTTTAAAAAGATTTGCAGAGATTTTCCTTACATAATCATCTTCCAAACTGTTTAATACACGAATACGTATCTCCAGGATTAAGGGCTGTGGAAACGGGGGAAGGATCTTTCTGCTTTCTACTTTTTTTCCCTTTTCTTAGTTTTGTCTTTATTTTATTGATGTCCTATTATCTTTTAAGTCTATCCATGAGGGTAGGTGAGTAGACAGCCCTCTGTCTGGGCTGAACAGGCTCTCTGCCTTCCCAGGGGCTGTAAGCTCTGGAGGTGATAGGCACATGGAGATGCTGTGCTGTGAACTCCCAGGCATCAAGGGCAGCCTTGCACCTTCCCACTGCCAAGCAAAGTGGCTCACAGGACATGAAAGCTGAAGGAAGGCATGGGGAGGGGTGTAATTCAGTGTATTTCGAGATACCCGCATGCAGGTCGTCTTCATAAACCCTGCACGCACAAGGCACGCTGGAGGAGGCAACGTAATGGCTCTGGGTTTGGAAGACAATCCAACCCGCCTGCCAATTTTCCCAATGACTCAGCTGAGTAGCATTTTGTTGTGGTTGCCCTCAGGGGAATTTGACTCATAAATGCTATTATTTGTCCCTGGAGTTAATTATAGGCCCCAATTACCTGTACTCTTAATGGACCTCAGTGCTGGCGTGTATAAGATGCATGTTTTCAGCCTGTCGCATCACACATGCTGCAGAGAGCAGCAGTAATGCTAGGGCTTACAGCATAAAATTCAGATTTAGAGCTGGACATGCTGCATTTGGATGACGGTCAGATCTGATTTTCATTTGTGCTCATCTTTAGCTAATGAGGATAATTTTATTACATATGCATAATTATTGTTTATTCATCCTCAGCCTGAAAGTCACAATAGTTCCTTGTTTCTATGCGTTGCACAGATATCATCCTGGTATTTCAGGTTTACTACTGCAAGAAAGCCTGTTTGTGCTGCACCTCCTAGTACCTGCATGATAAAATGCTAAATACATTGCATGATACGCACAGTCATCTTGGTGAAAATGGGTTGTTGTATTAATAGGACTTGCACAAGAAACAGTCAGGAAAGCAGGCTGCTTTTCTGCAAATGCATAACTAATGTCAACCAATATCCAGGAATCGGGGAGAGGCTGTTGCTGAAGTCCATGCCCAGCTGGTGTGAATGCAAGGCAATCCCTTTTTCCTGCAAGCCTTGCATGTGACAGTGGCAGTTCAGCCCATGGGTTTGTTTGAGCACTTTGTGCTAAACTGGAAGGCAGTGGTGGGGCAGGCTAATGCAAGCCTAGGATGTCCCAGGGTCACTGGGGGAAAGCATGGATCCTTTTACACAGCAGCTGAGATGTGCCTGTGTGTCTCACCGCTTCCCAGGCATTTATGGAAAAGCAAAGCGCAGGAGTGGCACAATGTGCTTGCCCAGCACGGCTGGTGGAAACGCTGCAGCTGCTGTGGGCTGGGCGTGAGAGAATCTGCTTTTGTGATGCTTTTGCAGTGCTTTAGGTTTGCGGTTCTCAGTGACCTCCAGGCTTTGGTTTTTTGAGACAAGCTATTAATTTATCAGGTGTCACAGGCTCCTCTTTCTCCCCTAGCTGTGGTGCAGAGCTGAGGTTTCCAGATGCTGTGCTCTCACATAACCTTTGATGTAGGATTCACTCTTTGTTCTCCCAAGAACAAAAGGGCAGGACAGAAAGGTATTATGAGATAAAACAACAATATTCTGCAGGAAGATTGGCCCTCCGCTGCTTAATCTGTAGCAAAGTCAGCCTACAGCTGGCTGCTGCTCGCAAACCCCAGTATCCTACTCCACGCTGTGGGGCTGGCTGAAGGCTGTGTGGGTCTGAGCTCTGTTGCAGGGATCCTCCAGACCTCAAATGTCTGTATCTTAATGAAAAAGAGAAGGAGAAAGGATTGTTAAAATGAACTTTCCACCTAATACAACCCCTTGGGTTGTTTGTTTTTTTTTTTTCTTAAATAAAGCTGGGCATTTTAGTCCTGCAGACACCTGACAACTCACAGTGCTTTAGCAAGGGTCAAATTTTAAATATTAAAGACATCTTCTGAAGTCTCTTTAGTGTCTGAAAGCACAAAGCAAGACTTGGCATTCCT